CCCCCCCTCTTTCTCCTTTCCCTGGAGTTCCCTTGGGAAATTCCCGCGCCCTTTCATGCTAACAGGCTTTTTGTCCAGGCGGACGCTGGCTCGTCTCCATCTCCGTGCCGCCGACGTACCCCCTGCAGGCGCCCAAGATGCGCTTCGTCACGCCCATTGTGCACCCCAACATTGCGCTGCAGACGGGCGAGATATGCCTGGACCTGCTCAAGGACGCGTGGACGCCGGCGTACAGCGTGCTGGAGTGCGTGCGCGCCGTGCGCATGCTGCTGAGCTGTCCCGAGACGGACAGCCCGCTCAACGTGGATGTCGCGGCGCTGCTGAGGGGCGGCGACGTCGTTGGCACGAGGAGGCTCGTCGAGTGCTGGTGTGCCGATGATGGGGGGAGGTATGATGGGCCGTAGGGGTGAATGGTGGCGCTTGGGGAGCAGTCATGAGGGTTGGCTCATCTGTGATTTTGTACTGGGCCACTTGTGCGATTCTGGCCTGGATGAAGGGATACTTGGGTTTTTATATGTGCTTGTTTTCTTTTCTTTTGGAGTTGGGATAGTCGCCGGGATTGCCAATGACAAAATTGTATATTGAAGCGAGACTCCTCAGAGCTGTATGTAGGCACGGGATTTTATTGGAGCGATGCTGTGCGCTTCAAATCGAAATCATTGTAGGATATTTGGATACAAGAGGAACGCACCATGGCCGGCGTATTAGCACAAACACTATATGAATATTCGCAGGCGGAGTTCAAGTCATGTCAGGATGAATTTACTACGGTCTATCCCAAAACCAAACCCTTCGCTTCCCGCCCCTCCAAAGGTCGTGTGTATCTTATAGACATGAAAAAAAAAAGTAAAACAAATAGTTTAAAGAAACACAACTGTCATGTGAAGAAAGCTCTCAGCAGTGGAACAAATCCACCGCGCCCGTACTCCTGCCCAACTCTAAAGGGGTTTCAAAGTAGGAAATAGTAAAATATTCCCCCTTTTTTTTTCTTTTGTCTCCCAGCGCATTTTTCTTCTTCCTCTCCCCCCCTCTCCATCTCTGCTAGAAATAATAATAGCAATAATTAAAAGATGCTACAAGAACGCCGCCACGCCGCCAATTTGGCCTGCACTCAGACCAGGGTTGCCAACGGGATGCAGTATATCAACTTTCGTTCTTTTTGATGACGCTCCTTGATATGCCCGAGGACGCAACCTGCACATAGCCATGAAACAGGCCTCTTGGAACTGTGCAGGAAATTCCCATCTATACAATATTCAGCACGGAATGAATTTGTCTTCCTCGGCTTCTCCTTCTGCTGTCTTCTTTACTCATTATAATGGTAAACCTAATTCAAGTCAGTCTCGTCGTTACGCCACTTAAACTGACGCCGTGCGTACCTTGTAGTTGGGGAGACCGTAAGGCTGCCAACCTAATCTCTTGGCCATCTTGGCAAAGCCTTCGGTCTCAATGAGATGGTAAAAGGAAAACGGGGGAAACATGGCGCCGTCGCGGTGGACATCGGCCTTGACCAGCAAAGCAGTTCCTCCCACGCCGTCAAGAGGAATAGCAAGACTCTGGTCACCACCGTCGGTGGCCAGGTGAGCCATTAGAGTGCGATATGTGGCCATTTCGGGGTATCCCTCGAGCAAAATGTCGTCAGGACCCATCTTGGAAGCCATCTGCATAGCGATATCACTGTCTTGCCAGCTATTGTAATCGTATGGCCGTTCGTCCATCTTTTTCTTGTCGTCGTTGTAGAAGCGCTGGAAGCAGTTGGGAACAATGACATCCTTGTTGTGCTGGGCAAGATCTTGGATCAAGCTTGCTGGACTCTCGACAATGTCAGAGTCGAGCCACAGGACCCAGGAAGTCGCAGGACCCAGAGTGGTGAAGAGCAGAGAGTTGCGAGCCTTGGCCATGACTGCCCTCCTTGGCTTCTGGTTGGCCATCTTGTGGCGCTCACTCTCATCCTGCGATTCAACGGCTGGGTCAAAATCCTGGCGCAGGATGATGATGCTCTTGAAACGATCCTTCCCCGGGCCGCGCTTTTGGGTCTTCTGGATCTGCTGCTGCAGGGCGGCGGTGGCAGCATTGCCCTCCTTGGTCTTGGGGAGGATGAAGCCGAGGGTAATGAGCTCGTGAGGGTAGCTCAGGCGAAGCAAATTGTCCCAATACTCCTGGTAGAAGCGCGCCATTGGTGACAAGATCAGGACATGTTCTTGGTTCTCGATGGGATTCGCAGTCACCGTGACGTTATTAAGGTTGTATCGAATAACGGGCGGGGGGCCGGTCTGCAGACCAGACTTGGAAGAGGACTTCTTGTACGGTGAGGTAGGCGGCGAGAGGTGATGCTGAGCTGTGACGGAGGGCAATTTGCTCGGCGTGGTCTTGCTTGAGGGAGAGACAAGAAAGAACAGGATGAAGATGCAGAGGACAAGGCCAAGAAGGAGAGTCAAGGGATTCGCCTTCTTGAGACGGACTGACCCCATGGGTCGAGCCATGGAGGCTGTATCTGCGCGGGAATAGGAAGAACCAAGAAACTACTCGCCCAGTCGTCTCGATGTGCGTTGAGATGGCTTGGAACGACGCTGGGATAACGTTGACGGATTGCGACAAAACGCGGCGTGGCCTATGCAGATGACAGGGGCATCAAGCAACGGCAGCCAGTGCAACCGGCCAGGACACGCAATGAATTGTGCGGTCGTCGAACGGGTCGCCGCAGTGTGTCGGGAAGCAGAAAGAGGCAACAGGCAGGCTGCACGCCAGCAGTGAAATGAATTGTGGTTGTTGATGCGAGTAATAAGGGACTGGACCAAAGGAATCATCAAGCGAGCCTGGGAAAATACGAGGCGATGCACGATAGTTAGTATTGAAGCCCGTCCCAGCGGCGCGCCCCATAAATCAGGTACCTCCTATTCAAGTACCAAGGTCCAGTGTCTGACGGTCTGACGGTCTGGTGGTCTGGTGGTCTGGTGCAGCCTGCCCAGCCTCCTGGGCCGTACGTCAGCAACAGTAGGTATCATGTCAGCATGAGAGTACTGCACATCTAGGTACCTACGGAGTACTCAAGTCCTAGGTGCCCTCTCAGCCCGCTGCATCTTGACATGTGGCCATTCAGGGTCGGCCGCACCGACTAGTACCACCCAGGAACGTCCTGCAATGTACAACTCGGACAAAAACTGGGGCAGCACGCCCTGTTCTGTTCCTCTGAGCTTCGCCAACGCCGATCCTGGAGACACGCCAGGCTCCTTATCCAGAATTCTCCGTCCTCTTGATCCCAGCATATATCCTGTGCTGTCCTGTGCTGTCGCAACACATTGCAACTCGCAAGGAGCCCTCACTGCACTGCCCACAATGGCTCAGAATATGGACCGTGGCCTTGACGAGATCATTGCTGAAAAGGTATGTTTTTGTGCCCGACTCGCCAAAACCTGGAGCAGCCTGACAAAACCATCCAGCGAACCAATGGCCCTCGAAACCGACGCGGCGGTCGAGATACCCGCCGTCGCGACCGTAATGACTATCCCCGGGACGGGGTAAGAAAGGTGGTCTATTTCCCTTCCACTGCCTGAATCTCCAGACCCTCGAGACCCTGTTGTGCTGACCTTGCCGCCTTGCAGGTTGCATCATCCTCCTCTCCTCGCAACTGTCTACCCGGCGGGTTGCCTTGGCCCGCCTCTCATTCTGTCGAATCGATGCATACAGCGCCTTGACGATGCCGACAGCAATAATCCTCTCCTAGACCTATCGCTAACCAGCTCTTTTGCCTCCCTCCAACAGTCAACCCGCGATGATCGCCGCAATATAGACAGGTCCGTGCTTACAGCTTCTTGTGCCGCCTGAATTTCATCAAGCTAACCTGCTCTTGTAGTGAATGGGTTCACGACCGATACGATGAGAGCGGTAAGAACCGACGACGGTGTCATCAACTTTACTTGCCATCACAAGCTCATCTACTTGTGCAGAATCTCGTCGTGGCCCCGCACCTCGACGTCGTCGCGAATCTCCAGTCAGGTATGCCATGAATCCCCAGATGTTTAGTTTTTGTACCACAGGCTGACCCCAGCCACCACAGTGACAATAAAGGATCGAAAATCCGTGTCGAGAATATCCATTACGATCTCACAGAGGAGGATCTAGATGTACGTCACGCAAAGAGCATGCACGTTCCTGCAGTGCAACCTAACATGACTATAGGAACTCTTTGCTAGGATTGGTCGTGTTTCGAAGCTCAACTTGCGATATGACCGCGCAGGGCGCTCAGAAGGCGTCGCATATGTCACATATGAGCAAAGGGAAGATGCTGAGGAAGCTATTAAACAGTTTGACGGCGCAAACGCCAACGGTGAGTTTTATTACACCCAAACCCCCCAGCCAAGAGCGCCTCTAATTGGACTTGACAAGGGCAACCAATCCGCCTCACGCTACTCCCTTCACGGAATCCATTCGATACTGCAGTTATGCCTGGCCGTCCACTGGCGGAGCGGATTTCAGCCCCTGGTGGCAGAGCCCGCTCCACATCCCCTCGCCGCAGACTTGAAGAGGAGGACGCTGCCCGTAAGGGAATTGATAGATATATTCCTGGAAGACGCTCCAGAAGCCCTATGCCTCGACGCTCAGGTGGTCGCGGAGGACGTCGTCCTGGTGCTCGGCGTGAGGGCGGGAATAATAGCAACGAAGGTGGTCGTGGCGGTCGTGGCAACCCAAGGGGGAAGAAGACGCAGGAAGAACTCGATGCTGAAATGGCAGATTACTTTGGAGGGAGTGGTCATGACTCTGCTGCGGCGGATGCTCCGGCTAATGGTGCAGCGCCGGTCACCGAAGCTGCCCCGGCTGCGGGCACTGACGATATCGACATGATCGAATAGTGGCTGTTTTTCTTTTTCTTGTTGAATGACCCATGTATAACACCTGAAATGTTGATTGTTGTCGATTTTCCGGCTTTGGCGAAGGGATAGCTCTGTTAGTGCGTGTGGAAAATTCCGTTTCGTATCTGTGTTTTTATCCAAGATCCAAGACGAGTCCGTCTCGCTGGTACACATGGCGGCGCTCTCGTACTATCCCCTTGGATATTCACCTGATGACTATTTCGGCTCCATTTCACATCATGTGTCTGTCGTCTGTAAAACTGCCATGCAATCCATGTGTATTGTTGTACTATATAAGCAAAGTCACGACCTACCTACCCAAGCCCATGCGATGCAATGCAACATTTGCCAGACGCCAGAATATGATCGATCGATCCCCCGTCGGCTACTAAGCTCAAAAACTTAAAAAGAAAGAACCTTCCCTAGACTATGGGTGCCGGCTAGAAGCGGCATATGTATATATACGGTTATTACAGACAGATTTACACGTCCATGTCCGCGTCACGCCCTTCCGCATAACTGACCTGCTTAGCACGCCGATACTTGTTAGGGGT